CAGACTGTTGCTTGACTTAAGTAACGAGCAGAAGTGCTGCTAAAACATCGTCTTCCACATGAGTGTCCGTCATCTGAGGTTTGACCCCGGGTCTTTTAATGTGACCTGCCTCAAGTCACAATAGTTGAATCTGTGAGTGGAACAGGAGCTGCTGTGGTGCAGCCAGTGAAGCTGGTACACTCTCACACTTTCACCGGGTCAAAACCTTGTTTTCTTATACTTAAAAAAGTTAAACATTTTTACTTAATGGAACTCTGTTTGTCCATTTTTGTATTCGCTTCTTTATGACATTTTTTCATAAGGAACATCAAGTTAAAGACGTACTTTAGTAGTCCAGGCATGATAGATGCCCGGCTTTGTTGAATATTTTATGCGGGGAAAAAAGACATCAACTTAACAGGAGCACACAGCAAAGTTCTTAAATAAGCCTCTGTGTGAATGCTACCTTCATATTCCTGTGCACATTATTATTGTTTATTTAATTTTAAAGTGCAAAGTTAACAAAAATCATTATTTGGATTCTGGTCAGGATTACAGTCAGGTGTGTGACCAACCAAATCTACTGTACCTTATAGGTTTTGATGTTAATTAGTTTTAAATAATGTTCATTCTGTGAAACACTGTGAGCTCTGATGGCCACTTCAAACATAGAGCCAGCCAAACTGTGGGGTGAGGTTGTGGGGTGACTGTGGGGTCATGGGTTGTACACCGTGGTAAGACTCAGCACAGGAATAAGACACGCGGTAGTTACACTGCAGCAGCCAGGTCATTTCAACGTAGAGTACAAAGAGTTTTATGAAGTGTTCTTCCAGGTCTTTGATGGGCATGGGTTCGGCAGAACAAGGCAAATAGATTTTAATTCCAATATTTCCTTTGTTTCTGCCACAGTGTCATTTGTAGTTGTATGTTCTTCCTTTTGTGAGAATAGCAGTTTTGTTAGAATTACAGTTCTCTAAATAGAGTTCATTTGAGTTTGAGGCAGTAGCTCTGCATGTGTTGACGTCGGGGCGGGGGCTCATCCATAGTCCTGTCCATAAAAGATGTTTTTATATCAGGAGGTGGTGGAGTCGCAGCTGTAACTGTTATTTTTACAGTTACTTCTTCACTTGTTTTTACTCCTACTATGGAATATTAGCAAAGAGACTATCTTCCCAGCATTCCTCACAGGATTAAAGCATCTGATTGAAAAGACTTTGCTGCATGTAAGCCACCCTCCCGCCCTCCCTCCCTCCCTCTCTCCCCACCTTCCCAGCTCCCCTCCTTTCTCTTTCTGTCTCTGTCTGACTGTCCCGCCTTCTTTCTCTAAAAATCACGTACTCTCATTCTTCTGTCAGACCAGAATAGCATTTTTAGTAGTCTTGTTGTCTACATTCCACAGATAATAAGTACTGGAGTGATTAGTTTGATTGCAGGGTCAGGCCTGGATACTGAGAGTTACAAGTGTTTGATGACTGTTGAGAAACAGACACTGTTTCACTGTGTCTGTACTGCAGTAGGAATGGGGTATTTTTCCTCTTTTATAAAGAACAGTGTTGGTTTGAACTAACTCATGCAGTTCTGTGTTTACTTTTACTTTATTATTTTCAGAAATTGTACAGCATATTCCAGTGGTTCTCAACCTGTTTTGGCTTGTTATCACATTTGACAATTTTCTGGTGACACCAGAGACGTTTCCTTTTTTCTAGAATTAGTTTTTGATCATGTTTGTTATACTGTGTTGCAAATATTACACAACATTGTATTTGAACTTGATGTATATTGATGATAGTGAAAGAACACAGTTGTTTAATATTGTGTGTGGTGTTTCCAATCATGATTAAAAAAAAGGTTAGTTATAAAAATACTAGAGATTTCAGGTGACCCTATTTGAATTCCCGGGGGGCCACACATGGGTCGCAATCCTGAGGTTTAAAAACAGTGGTCAATTCAGTGCTGCAGTATGAGGTTTTACACAGATATCTGTTGATTCTTGGCTGGCAGAAGTTAGATTTTAGCCTTAATGTTGTTTCCATCATCATGTAGGACAAATAGTCCAAGATACACCTCATAATTTATAGTCAGTATTTAATATTATTATTATTGTTCTTCCAAAATGTACCTGTTATATAATTCTCCAAGTGATTATCATACGTATCCTCTGTCTGAGTAATGCAGTCATTGTACGTAATTAACATTATGGACTGATATTATTCATTCTTCATTTACTTTCATTGTCTATCGTGTATAAATGGACTGGAGAGTGAGTTTTCTCAGACTGATCTAGTGCTTTCTGTCTTCCAGATGACTCATCTCCAATGATAATGTAACAGATATTAATTTTGTAATACTCTCCATGTGAATTGATATGAAGAGTCTCCTGTGAGAGGTGCTAATAGCTTTTCTCTCATTTGTTTTGGTCAGCTAATGGGATTAGCCATCGCCACATGACATAACCTAAGAGAAGATTTAACAGTTCCTGTTTAGTTTTGCTTGCATAATTTTACACTGCTTTGTTTTAAAGAAAAACCTCTCAGATGTTGGCTTTTTTTCCTGCCTTTTCTTTCTTGATATTTTTATATCAGTCCAGCTTCGTTTGTCATAAGTTCATTTCTTTTCTTTTCTCTCCACTTGGTCAGCTTTTCAAGCGTCACAGGTTACACTTATATGCGTCGCAAGTGTTGCTCACCTCCGGCTGTGTTAGATCTAATTGAGAAAACCAACCAACAACTCAGTAACTTCCGTCTGCCTCCCCCCTCCCTGTCCCCTCTCCCTTCGTCAGCATCACAGCACTGACTCAGTCACAAATATTATTTTGTAATTTTACTGCGCAGGTTGGTGGTAATACGAAGGATTGGTTTTTATAAAAACGTACAAATGCACAGAGAAGGCGTAGACACAGTAAACATGTACGTGTCACGTCGACTATGTCAGGGGTGTCCACGTACAGCCTGATTAGATGTCAAGTGGGTCGGACCACTACAATCAGAACATAATTACTTACAGATAAACAAGTCATGTTTCCCCCTTTGTTTTTGATGCAAATAAGTACAAATATATAAGAAGACATTTATATCTAATGAAGTATTTGACAAAACATCACTAACATGCAGTGTAACATTTTTTCACTTTCAATATTCATCAAGTGGGTCTTTTTAACCCCAGAGTGGGCCAGTTTTGATTTATTTGCGGTGTTGTGATGATAGAGCTGTACTTCATAAACAAATAGAGGAAGCTATGTTTGCCAGAACACAACAAACAAACGAAAATGAAACTCTGAAGTTGATGCTTTTCCACCTTTTGAACAACGCCCTTCAGTTCACTGCATTTTAATGGAAACCCATCATACAAAAGTAATGGTTTTAACAGACCATTACTGGGACAACCCCAGATCTGTGTCACATGGTTTTGTCTCGTGAGATGTTTTCAGACACAGGTGTTCGTCCTCGCAGCCAAGGTAGATTCTGCTAATCTGCACCCACCTGGTGTTACCGCCTGAGATCTGCTCTGCTACCATCATCATAAACATCGATTGCCTGGAGCGAGGGCACCTAACAGCCTGCCACAGCTTTGGCAGCGAGTCAAGCAGCTCTCACACGGCAGCACAAAACCAGAGGAAAATGTCTGCTGGTAACCCAGGGGTCCTTCTGTTTCAGTGTGCTACTAGGAGGCAGTTAGCAGCTGTGGGACTGGAACTGTAGTTTTTGTCACGTACATAACTAAACAGACTTACTCAGTGGTCACAGTTTTGTTTGAAACACGGAGCTCTTAGATAACTCCTGACAGCCATCTTTGAGGAAACCTTTCCCTGCAGGTGTGTGGTGAGATAAGACCCACATCGGACTGCATCGCCATCCTCACCTCCTCTTTGTGTGTGTGTGTGTGTTTGTGTCTTCTCAGTGCAGCGCAGGAGAGAAAGCCACTGAGTCAGACACGTTCTCCAGACAGGAAATCCAAACAGTGTTTGCAGTACAGTACTACAGATATCAGTTGTGAAAAGAAACCAAAGGCGACTAAATAACAGATAACAGGCCCCGACAACATCGCTCCGTGTATGATAACCTTGTTTGCTGACGTTTAGATTTTCCGAAAACGAATGAGATAGGTTAGATGAAATGAAGTAGGGAAATATATGTGGGCCCGGCTGGTCACGTACTCCCATGCAGTAATACTGTTTGATACAGATTTACATAATCTGGTACTATTTTGTAAAATAGTATACTACAGTTGTACTGTAGAGTTATATACAGTGAGTTGCTCCTTCAGCCCAATCTTCTTATCCATGTTGACTCTTTTTTTTTGTTGACTCAGTCCCCTGTTGGCAGGAAGTAGGAGATTAAAGCTCCAGCCAATGTGAGTTGGCCTTTTGTACAGTAGGGTTAGTTTGTTCTTCTCAAATGCACATGTGAAAAAAAAAATGGCCCTCTTATGTAAAGTATATATTTAT